ACCCTACAAACCCTGTAAACCTTGTAGACCCTCTTTAAGACCTGCAGTAAATGTCCAGGCCCGGCTCCAGAAGCTGTGCTCGAAGGCCTGGGCCGCCATTCTTTGCAGCCCAGTCAGCTTCTCCATTTGTTTTTAGGGTAGGGTTTAGGGTTTAGGGTTGAGGGTTGAGGGTTGAGGGTTGAGGGTTGAGGGTTTAGGGTTTAGGGTTTAGGGTTTAGTGCTTCGGGCCACCGCCTTACAGGGTACTTCCGAGAAGACGGTGATTAGAAGGGCACCCCGATGTTGGGAAAGCCTCATATGATGGCCTAACACCCCCATCCCAGGTAGGATAAGGGGGGCCGTTAACAGGGAACCCTAAACCCTAAACCCTAAACCCTAAACCCTAAACCCTAAACCCTAAACCCTAAACCCTAAACCCTAAACCGTGAGCCCTCTTCTGGCCCTCTTGATACAGGGACCTTAAACAGAGCGTCCATATCCCCAACAGTTCCCTAATCCCACCCCCTACCCGCCAAAAGCCCCATTCTGACGTCTTTCAAATCTGGGCGGGTAACTTGGGCCTACCGGCTGCCCCTGACAGATACATGGGGTGTGTATTGTATGTATGAGAATATATATATATATATGCATATATATATATATATTCATTTATTTATTTGTTTTTTATATTTTATATTTATATACATATATAGCTTCCATACAAGGATCCCAAAAAAGTGCCCCTTTCAGGGCTCCAGACTTAGACCCCAATTCCCCAAAGAGACTACAGCCCCAAAGACCCGCCACCCCCTTCCCCCCCCCCCCCCCCCCCCCCCCCCCCCCCCCCCCCCACCCCCCCCCCCCCCCCCCCCCCCCCCCCCCCCGAAATACGGAACATGCCTTAGACCCTAAAGCCCTAAAGCCTAAACCCTAAAGCCTACACCCGATCCCTCGAATAGCAGGATCTAAGGTCCATTCCTTATCTTAGGGTGTATGGGTCTCTTCGTAAACCCTAAGCCCGAAACCCTAAACCCTACTAAACCCTAGACCCTTCTCGGGGATTGGTCCAGGCAGGCTGGAGCTACACCATGTGGGACCGGCCAAAGAAAGACTGACGTGCATCATGAGGCTCGGGGGTCTCCTGGCCTCTGTTAATTCGACTCTAGGGATTTCGGAGACCGGGCGCCTGGGTGGGTTTAGGGTTTAGGGTTTAGGGTTTAGTGTTTAGGGTTAAGGGTTTAGGGTTTAGGGTTTAGATGTTTGGGATGGTGGGGGTGTAGATTTGTAATTAAGGCTCTCTGGGTTTCGAACATATCCCCCAACCCGGCCCAAACCCCATAAACTTGAACCCCAAACCCTACGCAAACCCCGTGCCCTGAGCCGCACCTGCACTCCCTCACACCCCCTCCCCTAAACCCTAAACCCGAAACCCGAAACCCCAAACCCTAAACCCTAAACCCCGGAGTCCAGGGTCACCCGAGGCCAACTTGAAGGTGTTCATGGCCTGCAGGGCTTTTGGGGGTTTAGGCTCTGGCCTGGAGGGTTCAGGGTTTAGGGTTCAGGGTTCAGGGTTTAGGGTTTAGGCTTTAGGGTTTTAGGGTTTAGGGTTTAGGGTTTAGGGCTACGTACCCCGAGCTCGAAACCCAAAACCTTCCAAGTGCGATGTTAGCGCTTAGTGTGTGCCCGGAAGCCGAAACGACTGGTGGGCCCCAAAGGGGCCCTGAATGAGGATTAGACTGCTACCCGTTGGGCGTCCATTGCGTTTGAAGCCCGAGCTTGCAAAAGCCCCGAACCCCATACTTGTGAAGCAGGGTTTAGGGTTGAGGGTTTAGGGTTCATAGTCCCTGAAACCGTAAACCCTAGCTTTGTGAAGCTGAAAGCGCCAGGAACCCTGAAAGCAGAAGAAAGCGAAACAGTAGACCCTCATTCCTAAACTCTAAACTTGAGAGGGTGCCAGGGGCCTTTTGATACTGAAGCTTGAAGTCATACAGGCGTTATGGGTTTAGGGTTCTTACTTGGAAGCTCTTTTGACTTAGTTAGGCTACTTAGTAACCTCTAGAAAACCCACAATAATCCCCATAACCCACCCTACTATCCCTACGGTTGGAGGTTTAGGGTTGAGGGGTGCGGGGGCTAGCGTCCCCGACCCGCGACTTGAGGGTTTAGGGTTTAATGTTTAGGGTTCAGGGTTCACCCCTTGAACCTCCCTCCCTTTGAAGCCATAGAATTGAAGCTACAAGTCCAGTTGTCTAGATGACGGTCCTTTGGGGCATCCCTGTCTCAACGATGTGTGCCAATGTTCACGTACCCATAGCAGGGAATTTGAAGATTTAACTCAAGTTTCTGTGGCGGAGGGTTCCGGGTGTAAGGTATTGGGGCTTTGGGTTTTGGGGTGTAGGACGACTGGCCCTGAACCCTAAACCTTTAAAGTTACACCCTAAACTCTAAACCTGAAACGTTGTACCCTACACTCTGTACTATAGACTAAACTCAAAGCCCTATTTCTACCTTAGCAGGCCACCTTACCCATGCCAGGGAGTTTCCCTAAACCCTAAACCCTAAACCCTAAACCCTAAACCCTAAACCCTCAACCCTAAACCCTAAACCCTAAACCCTAAACCCTAAACCCTAAACCCTAAACCCTAAACCCTAAACCCTAAACCCTAAACCCTAAACCCTAACAGATAGATGAGCAGTATCTTGGGGCTCAAAATCAAGGGCCCATACTAGCGGCCCGTGGAACTACCGTAAGACAGGTCCTAAGCCCTCAGCCTAAACCCTAAACCCTGAACCCTAAACCCTAAACCCTAAACCCTAAACCCTAAACCCTAAACCCTAAACCCTAAACCCTAAACCCTAAACCCTAAACCCTAAACCCTAAACCCTAAACCCTAGGAGGAGGTAGGGGGTTTCAACTTGACCTGCGTGGACGACCAAATGGATAGTCGAAGGGGTTCTCACTGCCTCTCAGGTCCCTTGCAGGGTCGAGGTATTCATGGTTTGAAATCCTGGAGCCGAAGCCTTACTAGGGTTTAGGGTTTAGGGCTTAGGATGTTTTATGTTTCCCCTTCTTGGGTTTAAGAGGATCATACTCAGGAATATTTTTCAGAGGGTTTTCAGGGCCATCCGAGCATATGAGGGGCTACAGGGCTTAGGGTTTAGGGTTTAGGCTACGAAGGGCAGGTTTCCCTAGCCTCTAAACACCCCTCAACCACCTGCTCCAAGTACCCAAAGAACATGCCCAAACCACCCTGTCGTCCTAAACCCTGAACCCTAAACCCTAAACCCTAAACCCTAAACCCTAAACCCTAAACCCTAAACCCTAAACCCTAAACCCTAAACCCTAAACCCCAGTCCCTTATCAAAGGATGCCTGCTTGGGTTCAGGGTTTGTTTGGGTGCCTGCAGGGCTCAGGGTATAGGGTCTAGGGTTCAGGGATGAAGTTGTCCCATGCATGAACAGGAAGCTGTGGTTTTTGCGTTTAGGGTTTAGGGTTTAGGGTTTAGGGTTTAGGGTTTAGGGTTTAGGGTTTAGGGTTTAGGGTTTAGTTTAGGGTTTAGGGTTTAGGGTTTAGGGTTTAGGGTTTAGGGTTTAGGGTTTAGGGTTTAGGGTTTAGGGTTTAGGGTTTAGGGTTTAGGGTTTAAACAAGACCTTTGCGGCAGTGACTGGTAGTTGCTCGGAGGCGATTGTGGCCAATCGCAGGTAGAGTGTGGCGTTCCTCTGGCTTGCAACGCGAAACCCTAGCGACTGGCATGCCGTACGCGCGACTGCCCTTATCTAGATCAGTGTTAGGGATCCTTTTTACTTTTTGGGTTGTGGGCCTTCTTATATATGAACAAAAAGGATCCCTTTTTCTTCCTAGGGGAACAGGGATTAAGTTATCCTCGCGACTCCCCCGGCAGGATTTGCAGAATTGGTACCCGGAATAGTTCCTTCACGGCTTGCTTGGGTCCCTATAGATTGCCAAACCTCTCGATTTCCGATGAAGCACTGTAGGCCCTAACCCTGAACCCCTACCCCAAGCCTAAGCCAAGAGGCGCCACACGATAGGTCAGGCTGGCTGCGAGGTTAGACAGTACTTTGGCTCGCGGCAGCACTGTCCAAAAAAGACATCTTTCAGGGAGGCCTTCCTTTACCCTAAACCCTAAACCACTCTTCTGTATATATATATATATATATAGATATATATCTATATATATATACAGATCTATATATATATATATGCGATATGGCTGTTAATGACTTTGCAGGCAAGGTCACTACAAGGTCATAAAGTTTCCGGGTGAGGTCATTACAAGATCACTGCATGGTCATGGGACCTTGCAGTGACCTTGCGATGACCTTGCCCCCTAGCTTTATGTTATGACCTTGTAGTGACCTTCTAGTGACCTTCTAGTGACCTTGTAGTGACCTTGCCCGCTCTTTTACTTTTTATGACCTCGTGCCTACAAGGTTGCCACAAGGTTTCCACAAGGTCCCCCACAAGGTCCCCCACAAGGTCCCCACGAGGTCACCACAACTCCCTCACAAAGTCCTAGACAAGGTCCGCAAGGTCCCCTCCACCCTGAGATGTAGATACTTGGGGGAAGGTGTTTGGCTGTTCGCGGGCTTCTTTTCCAGGCTGAGGAGTTCGTTAGGGTTTTTGGGTTTTTGGGTTCTGGGGGATTTAGGGCTTTCACTTTTGTTTGATCAGAGTTCTAGGGCCTAAGGGTTTTCGGGGTTTCCAAATAGTGGACCCTTGCTTGGCACCCAAAACATTTTCCACACCAAAGTTCAGGGTTGGAGGGTCCTAGTTTCTGGGTTCTTGGTTTAGGTGCTGGGGTTCTGGGGTTCCAGGGTTTGGGGTTGTAGAGTTGTAGGGTTTTAGGGTTTAGGGTGTGGGGTTGTAGGGGGTTTATGGTGCAGGGGCTTAGGGTTTTAGGTTGTTGGGGTTTAGGGTTTAGGGTAAAAAAGCACCCTGGACCCGAAACCCTAAACCCTATGGTGAAGGCTTGCGGGTTCTGTCCTGGAGTCTGTCGCAGGAGGGGGACGCATGACAAGCGAAAGGCGGGTCGCTGAGTGCTGGCGCAGACCCGGGATCATCATAGGGGGTACTATAATCCCTATTAAGGACGTATCAGGGGAACATCACAGCGTAGAATCCGAGTTCCCCCATGTCTTGCTTTAAACAGGGTTGGGAAAGGGAAGGGGCCTTAATGTTTTTTTTTGTTTTTTTTTTTTTTTTTTGGGGGGGGGGGGGGGGGGGGGGGGGGGGGGTTATGACTATAGGTTTATATAGGGGCCATGAGGGAAAACTACGAGTTTGCATTTTGATCTTTATAGTAGCCCACTGGGAAGAAGATTGGTGTTGTGAGATCGCTTGGAAAAGGTGAGGGTTGATCCTCGCATCTGCATCTGCAATGGAGGTTGGGAGGGAGTTTAGGGTTTACCCTAAACCCTAAACCCTAAACCCGAAACGCCCCCCAAACCCTAAACCCTAAGCCCTGCAAGATAGGGTTTTGCTTCAGGACCCGGGGCCTGCAGGGGCCCTGTTAAAGGAACTTGGCTGCCAGGCTGTTCTCCAGCACGAACACTATATATCTGCAAGGGACGGTTATGAGACCTTCCTGAGCACACCGTCAGGAGAGCTCTGCGAAGCTTGTGCGAGCGAGTCTGGCTTGAGGCGGATCAGGCGGAACATGACCCAGATGGAGCTGATCGCAGAGGTACACAAATCCATGTTGTTCAGCCAGAGGAGGTCCTCGCAGAGTGGTGCTCAGATTGCATCATCATCACAAGGCAATGGCAGTTAAGGGGGCTGGCATGTGCCTCCCGTGAGAACTATGGCTACTATCTAAACTATATATGCTTGCCTGCGTCGGACACCTACGTAAGGTGCCAACGGCAAGTAATGTGGTTGTGTACTAAGCCAATCTTAATATCATGCTAATCACTGTTGCACAACACCTGAAAGGACAGAAGGGTACCAGCACAGACATGGAAAAGCTCTGTAAGCTCAGTAGGAACTTAGCAGTAGTTAAGCAGGCCCTAAACCTAAGCCCTAAAACCCCAAACCCTCTGAACCCCAAAGCGCTCAACACAAAACCCTCAAAAAAAACCTAGGGCCTCTCAAAACCTTAACACCCTAAACCCCAAACCCTCAAAAAACCCTAAAGCCCCAAAGCCCTAACAAACCCTCAAAACCTCAAAGCCCTCAACCCCAAACTCCCTACCCAACCCCTAAACCCCAAACCCTCTAAGCCCCAAGGCCCCTGAACCCCAAACCCCCTGAACCCCAAACCCTCTAAACCCTAAACCCTAAACCCCAAACCCTAAAACCCTAAACCCTAAACTCTAAACCCTAAACTCTAAACCCCAAACCCTCTAAAACCCTAAAGCCCTACAGCCCTGCAGGCCTCCTGTAAGCGCCTTTTTTCCCTCTTTGGTTGTTCAAGGTTGCGTTATAAAGTAGTCCGCCTCAACAAAGGCAATCCCCAAACCCTAAACCCTAAACCCCAAACCCTAAACCCTAAACCCTAAACCCTAAACCCTAAACTCTAAACCCTAAACCCTAAACTCTAAACCCTAAACCCTAAACCCTAAACCCTAAACCCAAACCCTAAACCCTATCTGGGTTTACAGGCTTGCTTCCTCTGCGGGGAGCCAAGCCACGAGTTGCCAGACTGCCTGGGCACCCAGGGAGCCCTTTCATGGGCACCTTGGGGGGCGGCTGGGAGGGTTTGGGGTTTAGGGTTTAGGGTTTAGGGTTTAGGGTTTAGGGTTTAGGGTTTAGGGTTTAGGGTTTAGGCACGGAGCCTTTAAATTGGCGCCTTGGGGGGCTTGGAGGTCTTACAGTGGACTGGAGGGTTTAGGGTTATAGGGTTATAGGGTTTTAGGGTTTAGGGTTACAGGGTTTAGGGTTTAGGGTTCAGGTTCGATAGTGGGGCTTAGTGGACTTTAGGGGTTGAGAGGCCAGGAGATCAGGGTGCGGGTTGTTACAGGGGTCTGGGGCTCGGCGTCTCGGGGCATCAGGGTGCAATATAGGGGGCCTTTCTAATTCGAATTTGGGTTTTGTGGGGTTTTCTGGTCTAAGTATAAAGTAGTGATTTCGATTCCGACCCCGATATTCGAGGGTTTAGGCGTTTTTGGGGTGAAGGGGGTTCAGGACACAGGGTTCAGGGTTTGCGGGATGTAGGTCCCAAGCAGCAGGCTCGAAGCGAACGACTTCGAGCTCAAGAGCCAGAAGGCAAAAGCAGCCGTCCAACATTTTCGATCCCTCTTAACTTCTCGCGAAGTTCTGCGACGACGCCCTGGTGATGGCTTTCGGTCCTGCCTTCTCCTTGGCTCTGCAGCGTTTAGGCTTTAGGGTTTAGGGCTTAGGGCTTAGGGTTTAGGGCTTAGGAACAACACGACAAGCTGATGGCAGTCCTGGCGCAGCTGAAGGACGTCCAGAAGACCCTGGTGGAGTCAACTGCAGGCCTTCGAGTTCGGCTCGCACCCATGCCCGATAAGCGGGTTGCCCCCCCCACACACAGTTAGCGGGTTGAGGGCGTTCCGGGTCCATGGTGTTTGGGCGTTGGAGGGGAGGGGGGGGGGGGGGGGGGGGGGTGAATTTAGGATTTAGAGTTTAAAGTGCTGCGCTTGCACTCACAGCTTCTTCCCCTGACCCCGATAAACGCTAAACCCCATTCCGGGGTAGGGCAAAGGCTTGATATCCACGCTAGAAAGGACAGTGTGAGGTCACTAGTTCCTCCACATACCACCAGTACCTCTGTCTATAGCCCATACATGCACCCTTCACAACTTCAGGGAAGCTTGAAAAAAGATGCATTGAATATCGAAGCCCAAAATAATGTACACTCTATACATTGAGTAGTTCTCTACATTACGGTCCCTTCCCTGGTCCTGTCTATAGAAGGTGCCGTACCATAGTACGGCCCCGTGATATATATGGGTCGGAATACCCTTATGGTCCCTTCATCATCATACTATCATGCCCCCCCAAAACCCTATTCTAGATATTAAGGCCCCTCTAGTAGAGCACTACCCACAAGGAAACTATAACCCTAAACCTAAACCCTAAACCCCAAACTCTAAACCCTAAACCCTAAACCCTAAACCCTAAACCCTAAACCCTAAACCCTAAACCCTAAACCCTAAACCCTAAACCCTAAACCCTAAACCCTAAACCCTAAACCCTAAACCGAACTACCCACAAGGAAACTCCTGAATTCAGGTCCCATCCAGCGGGAGTGTGTGCTGGTCTGCAGAGAGCCTGAAGCCCAGGGAGCTGCATCTGCGTCGTTGGTGGCAAGCCCTGAAGAAGAAGGGTTCAGGGTTTAGGGTTTAGGGTTTAGGGTTTAGGGTTTAGGGTTTAGGGTTTAGGGTTTAGGGTTTAGGGTTTAGGGTTTAGGGTTTAGGGTTTAGGGTTTAGGGTTTAGGGTTTAGGGTTTAGAAGTAGGTTGAAGTTGCCGGTGCCCTTGTCGCATCCGACAAAGAAAAAGAGAAGGCCACATAACAACTTAGCTTCTCAAGGTTGTACCCCTTAGGGCTCCCCTATACTCCTAATATGGCCCTTACACTGCCTTAAGCATCTTTAAAAGGGGTCCCGAAAACCCAAGGGTACACAACCTTAAGGGGGGCCAAACCTGACAGCCAGTGAGCTTGCGTCAGAAACAAGCCAACCGGCCAAGCCCTAAGTAGGCCCCAGAAGACCCCCAAACCATGAACCGTGCCGCCATGAATCAACAATGACCCTAAGCCCTAAGCGACCCTCACCCTAAACCCTAAACCCTCAACCCTGTAAACCCTAAACCCCCTGAAGGCCCCACACAAAAGCACCATTCCTGGGCCCCAAAGCCGACGTCACATCGATGGAGGTGGGGCGGCAGCAGCGCGCCTGCACAGCAGGACTCCCCTGCAGCCCTTTAAGGTTTAGGGTTTAGGGTTTAGGGTTTAGGGTTTAGGGCTTAGGGTTCAGGGTTTAGGGTTCAGGCTTATGGGTTTAGGGTTCCTTCCATGCCTTTAATCCGGCATTGGAGTATAGTATATGGTATATGGCCCACACCCGCAGACCTCCTGCCTGTACCCTGAAGTTTCAGCTCGTCTGACCTAACCCTAAACCGAACTTCAACCCTTTGCTTGAACCCTAAACCTCAACCCTAGACCCTAAGCCCTAAATCCTAAGCCCCGAAGTTTCAGCTCTTCTGACGAGGAGCTGCAGGCCGCGCTGGCAGAACAAGGTTTCGAGGCCATGATGATGGGGGGGGGGGGGGGGGGGGGCACTGGGAATTGAACATTTCACAGGTTTGGGTTCACGGTTTAGGGTTTAGGGAGGGTTTAGGGTTTAGGGTTTAGGGTTTAGGGTTCAGGGTTTAGGGTTTAGGGTTTAGGGTTTAGGGTTTAGGGATTAGAGTTTGCTTTTGAAGGTTTCAAGGTCTTCGGGGTTGTTGATGCCTCGGCATTGGCAACCCTTAGTCCTAAACTTTACACTGTGGCCTGAGGCCAGCTCGGTTGTGCATTAGGAGATGTTGCAATTTCCCAAGAATCCCCTCCCCCTAATATTAAACATCCCCCTACCCCCCTAATATTAAAACCCCCAATATACCATAATATAACTATAATGGGGGGGGTTTTAATATTGAGGGGTAGGGGGGGTTTAATATTAGGGGGAAGGGATTACCAAAAGGCAACTGATTCCAAAAGCCTCAGCCTAGCATGCACAGTCTCAAACAAAAGAAGACTGGGAGGGGAACCGGGAGCTCTTGAATGTCTTGCCATGTAACCATACCCTGAACCCCAAACCCCAAACCCTAAACCCTAGACCCTAGACCCTAAACCCTAAACCCGAAACCCGAAACCCTAAACCCTAAACCCTAAACCCTAAACCCTAAACCCTAAACCCTAAACCCTAAACCCTAAACCCTAAACCCTAAACCCTAAACCCTAAACCCTAAACCCTAACTTAACCCGGCCGCTTGGCGTCCCCCAGGCCGTGCGCTCATACTGGCATGGCGGCGCCTTTTGCCCAGATCCATTGGGTTCGAAGTTGTCGGGTTCAAGGTGAACAGGGTTTAGGGTTTAGGGTTTAGGGTTTAGGGTTTAGGGTTTAGGGTTAGGGTTTAGGGCTTTTCTCTTGTTGCTTTCGTGGTTTAGTCTGTGGGCTTCGGCTTCGAAACAGCGGATTTAGAACTCACCCAAACCCTAAACCCCAAAGCTCAAATCCCAAAGCCCAAAGCCCCAACCTTAAACCCTAAAGCCCTCAGCCCTAAGCCCTTATATTAGCCCTAAACCCTAAACCCTAAGCCCTAAGCCCTAAGCCCTCTGCCCTCTGCAGCTCTGCAGCGTGAGACTTGCAGGGGCTCAGCACATCTGCAGGCTTCCTTGATTGCTGGAACGTCCCTACCTGGCGGTTCAGGGTACTTACGAACCAATGATAACTGTGCTTAGAACCCACGTATAAGCCCCTTAAGTGCCCGAATCTGGTTATAAGTCAGTCATACGTACCCTAAACCCTAAACCCTAAACCCTAAACCCTAAACCCTAAACCCTAAACCCTAAACCCTAAACCCTAAAGATTGGTTAATAAGTACAATGAACCTCCAAGTTTGCGGCCCTAGGGCCTGCAGACAAAGCTACCCGTGGGAGGATCCCAAAAGGTAGAACCCCGAAATGGTACCCTAATTTAGGGTTTAGGTTTAGGGTTTTAGGGTTTAGGGTTTAGGGTGAGCTATAGGAGTAACGTAGGGGCCTTAATAATTAGAATAGGTTTTTGGGGGGTTCTCATAGAAGACCAACATGGGAGAATAGGTACCATGCGGGAATACAATTCGTAATTATTCCGACCCCTATATTTTTCTTAGGAACCCTTAAAGGGATCTACTTTTTGGATCCTCCCCACGGGTCTGCGAAGGTTTGCTATGTTCGGCTGCGAAGCAATGAAGAGGCTGCTCCACGGTTGAGTCTTCGGGGCTAGGGTTTAGGATTTAGGGTTTAGGGTTTAGGGTTTAGGGGTTCAGTCACTCAGTCCTTCTGCTCTCTGGATGGGTTGTTGGGCCTTGTCGTTATATCCCCCACTACCTATCAACCCTGGATACCTACTATAAGGACCGTTTTTTTACGGGGTTTCCTGGGGCTTCTGGCCCATTCTGGTCTGCGGTTTGTCAAAACACCGATATATAAGGGGTCCACATTCAAGAGTCCATGTTCAGGGACCATGTGACTACCCTAAGATGTTTGCTCGCAAGTGGGGCGACGGTAGGGTCTTCCGATTCGGGGAGCTTCATGTCGAATCTTTACAAACCTGTTGTGCCATATTTCGTCCCATAGGTACTGCCGAAGGCCCACATTAGGGGCTTACAATTTTGACCCCAGGGCGCTAGCAGCTGTCAGAGTCACGATCCCGGGGTTTGTTAAACCCAGACCCTGGAAGTGTTTAGAACCCCACCCTAAACCCTAAACTCTAAAAACCTAGCCCTAAACCCTAAACCCTGAACCCTTAACCCTAACCTTAATGTTTCAACAGGGTTTCTGTTTTGAGTTCTCTGATTTTCAGGCCGAGACTTCGGGGCTGCCATCTTTAGCCATGTCCTCGGGTTTAGTGGGGTTTAGGGTTTAGTGGGGTTTAGGGTTTAGGGTTTAGGGTTTAGGGTTTAGGGTTTAGGGTTTGGGGGGTTTTGGGGTTTAGGGTTTAGTGGGCTTCTAGGGTTTGTTGGGCTTGGGGTTTTAGGGCTTTGAGGGCTTTGGGGTTTTAGGGCTTTAGGGTTTTAGGACTTTAGGGTTTTTGGGCTTTAGGGGTTTTGGGGTTTAAGGGAGTTTTAAAGTTTTAGGTTTTAGGGTTTAAGGTTTTTTGGGTTTTGGGGTATTTGGGTTTCGGGTTTTGGGGTGTTTTTTTGTGGTTTTGAGGTTTTGAGGTTTAGGGTTTTAGGGGTTTTGGGTTTGTGGGTTTTAGGGTTCAGGATTTAGGTTTTTAGGGGTTTAGGATGTATGGTTTAGATGGCAAAGAGTTTGCGCAAACAGATCCAAGAGGGAGCTCAACAAGTGTAGTATATGCCCACGCCTTGATTCACAGCTCACAACCTTAAACCCAAGGAATTATTTCTAAGAGGAGTATAGTACACCCTAAACCCTGTATAAGCCGTTCCTGAGCGGCGACGCTTACTACGTCGAATGGTGAACCCCGCCTAATGGGGCTAAATGGGTATTTCCTGCCAATAACAGTGCTATCCTTACAAAAGGCACCCCCCCACCCTCCCACAAAAAAGTCTCATACCCCAAATGTGGGATCTGCCACCTCTGCCACCCCCGTATACCGCTAAATCCCAAACTCTAGACCCTAAACCCTAAACCCTAAACCCCAAATTCCAAACCCTAAACCCTAAACCCTAAACCCTAAACCCTAAACCCTAAACCCTAAACCCTAAACCCTAAACCCTAAACCCTAAACCCTAAACCCTAAACCCTAAACCCTAAACCCTAAACCCTAAACCCTAAACCCAAAACACTAAACCCTAAACCCTAAACCCTAAACCCTAAACCCTAAACCCTAAACCCTAAACCCTAAACCCTAAACCCTAAACCCTAAACCCTAAACCCTAAACCCTAAACCCTAAACCCTAAACCCTAAACCCGAACCCGCTTAGGGTTCATGTAGTCCAGTAAGCAACCTTCAACTCGCGGACGCAGGCAGCCGCGGCCCTGCAGATCTGGGGCGGCCAAAACCGCCAGAACGCCCAGAGAGGAGGTGTTTGCCTTCAACCGCATAAACCTTGAGATTGAGTTTTAGGGTTTTAGGGTTTTAGGGTTTTAGGGTTTTAGGGTTTTAGGGTTTTAGGGTTTTAGGGTTTTAGGGTTTTAGGGTTGTAGGGTTTTAGGGTTTTAGGGTTTTAGGGTTTTAGGGTTTTAGGGTTTTAGGGTTTTAGGGTTTTAGGGTTTTAGGGTTTTCGGGTTTTAGGGTTTTAGGGTTTTAGGGTTTTAGGGTTTTAGGGTTTTAGGGTTTTAGGGTTTTAGGGTTTTGGGGTTTTGGGGTTTTAGGGTTTTAGGGTTTTAGGGTTTTAGGGTTTTAGGGTTTTAGGGTTTTAGGGTTTTAGGGTGGGTTTAGGGTTTAGGGTTTAGGGTTTAGGCTTGGGATGTTCACCCTTCTACTTACAGTCTTGAAGAGGGATTATAGTAACCCCCTATTGTAATCCCTAGTAGGGACTGTTAGAAGAAGGGCGAACATCCCAGCATAAACCCTGTGGTTTAGGGTGTAGGGTTTAGGGTTTATAAACCACAAGACGTATAGGCCCTAAACCTTAAATATCGAGCTACAGAAGAGGTCCGGAAAACCCTAAAGTAGGGAACTTGCAAATCTACTTACTTACAGCCTATATATATATATATATATATATACCTGCGAAGTTCGGCCGAAGTTTCCACTGAACCCTAACCCTAAACCCTAAACCCTAAACCCTAAATCCTAAACCCTAAACCCTAAACCCTAAACCCCTAAACCCCTAAACCCTAAACCCTAAACCCGAACATCATGTAGCCCCCCGGGGCCCTGCTCGAAGGCTCAGGGAACTTAGCAAGTAAGTCAGACGTAGGGTCGAAAGTGCCCCGAAGTTGGGCATTTGGGACCCTTATACTAGCAGTCCTGAATAGGGATTACCCTTATACTAACAGTCCTGAATAGGGATTATAGTTGGGCATTTGGGACCCTTGTACTAGCAGTCCTGAATAGGGATTATCGTACCCCCTATTATGATCCCTACTGAGGACTGCTGGTACACGCGGGAACATCCCAATTGGCACCATCTTTTTACGTGGAAACGTGATATATAACCTGCATATACGGTTCGTATGCCTTAATAAGAAGTATACTAGTATAGGGTATATGACCCCAATATTAGCGTTCATGTGGTCCCGAAGGAAGTGCCCTAAGTTGGGTTTTTCTTTTTCCGTGGAAACGCAACCCTAAACCCTAAACCCTGAACCCTAAACCCTAAACCCTCAACCCTAAACCCTAAACCCTAAACCCTCAACCCTAAACCCTAAACCCTAAACCCTAAACCCTAAACCCTAGACCCTAAACCCTAAACCCGAAACCCTAAACCCTAAACCCTAAACCCATAACCTACTTCCTCTGTTCGCTGAGCCTTGCGGCAACCTCAGCTCGTTCATGTCGTTGTGCCAAAGTCATCTCCCAAATGCCTTTGCGTTTAGGCTTCACCCTGCACCCTCAACCCTGAACCCTAAACCCTAAACCCTAAGCCCTTGAGATAGGACTTTAAGGTGCAGGGCTTCACGTAGCAGTCTCAGGGCTTAGGGAGACGCTGGCAAGCATTCCCCCCCCCCACCCTTCATGTTGCGGATTCAAAGGTTTGTTGGCTTCTGCTTTGTATTGAGGGTTTCGGGCTTAGGTTTAGGATTTCCTGATGAGTATGAGGCGCGATGGGTAGTGTCCTTGCTGCGTTCATTGCCTGACGCGGTGAAGAATCCAGCGGTAGAAGGCGTGGCCAGTGGGACGATAAGGTCAATAGCTTTGCTTGAAGAGGCTTACCGGCAAGTCCAGCCGGGAGGCCGAGAGGAACAGGCATCGTTGAGAAAATTCGTCCGCACCTTGGACCCTGCGTCCTCTGCGCAGGAGGCTTCGACAACCCTTAGGCGATGGCAACTTGCTCGTGGCAGACTTAAGTCGTTGGGACCTCCTGAGGCAGCGCCGTACGAAACGATGAGAGGATTGCAAATTTGGTCAAGGGTCTGGAGCGACGACACGAGTCGCTACGGACCCGACTGGCATTGGTGCGGCTGCACCCTGCGGTCCAGATGGGTCAATCAGCTGGCGTTGAGCACTTGTTGATGGCGATTGAAGCAGAGGTCAGGCAATTGGCAGCAGAAGAGTTATGGTTTAGGGTTTAGGGTTTTTCGGTTCTGCTTTGTTGTTTGTGATTTTGGTTTGGGTTGGGGAGGGTTCGGGTTTGGGACTTAGGTCGACTCAAGGTTGAGGCATTCGGGAGCTTACCGGTTTAGGGTTTAGGGTTTAGGGTTTGGGGTTTAGGGTTTAGGGTTTTTGAGGGTTTGGAGGTACCTGGCAACCTCGAGGAATCAGGGAGCCAGTCAAGTAGTGCATTTAGGGTTTAGGGTTGAGGGCAGATTAGGTCAGGTTGCCTTTCCCTTCCCCCCCGCCACCCACCCACCCACCCACCCAGGATCCTGCATGTATGTCAGTTTCCTACGGGAACCGCGACCTATTGCCGCCAAAAAACTAAACCCTAAACCCTAAACCCTAAACCCTAAACCCTAAACCCTAAACCCTAAACCCTCAACAAGGCCAGGCCCTGACAATGCCAGACCGTTTTCCCCCAACCTCTGCACCTGAAGAAGCCCTGAGGCCTGCAGCTGGGTGAAGAGGCAGGGTGAAACCACACTTGGAGGGTTTAGGGTTTAGGGTTTAATGTTAGGGTTTAGGGTTTAGGGTATTGGGTTCAGGGTTCAGGGAAGCCTTGGGTGCATTTTCTTGGGTTTCAGGAGTATGGGGTATGGGGTTTATCCCTAAACCTTGGGAGGTCCCCCTTATACTACCAGTCCTGAATTGGGATTCTAGTACCCCCTAGTATAATCCCTATTTCGGAACATCCCAAGGTATGGGGTTTGCGCCTAAACCCTAACACCTACCTCAAACCCGAATATGGGGGCCTGAAAAATCACAAAAGGGTTTTGGGGGTTATTTTTGTATAGTTATATAGGCACCATAAGGGCATACTACTATTAGTAATTTTTCCGACCCCTACCTTATTTATATTATTTTATTTACCTACAGTTTAGGAGTAAGTACGCCCTATTTAATAGGCATCACCCTTAAAGCTGTAGTTAAATAGGGTCCCAAGTCAGTTATTTTTCTTCCTTGACCCGTGGATATTGGGTCGGCATTGCTTAACCCTAACCTCATAGCTTATAGACAAAACCTACATCCTACACCCGCTAAACAATTCAACCCTAAACCAGGATCGCTTTCATCAGCAATCAGAAGTATGGCAAGTAACATGAACAGTGGTTGCCGCTATGGAGAAACCGAAACGCTACTGGGATGTCGGAACTTAAGCCCACAATAGCAGCGGACCCTTTCTGTATTCCTTCTGGGCAACCTGGCCTATTCCTTACAGTGGCGGAGTGCCAACCCAAGACCAAAAACACCAGGAAATGCCTTGTCGAAACCTGGGCAGGCTTTTCAAGTGCGCGCCGCCCGCTCCACCCGACGTCGCAAGCCCAATCTGCGCTCATGTTGCGGACAAGAAACTCAGGGTTTAGGGTTCTGGCCCGAAAACAGTAAGCCCTTAAGAAGCCGCAACCCAGAGTAGGCCCTGATTTCCATTTTTGGGGCGGATGTAGGTTCCCCTGTTATTAAAACATGCCCCTTAACCAAACAGGCTCCCCTTATTGTTCTTCGGTCACTGCTGGGGTCCCTAAGCCCTAAACCCTAAACCCCAAACCCTAAACCCTAAACCCTAAACCCCAAACTCTTACTCCTGAGTCTCGGAAGCCTTAACCCGAATCACACTTGGAGGTTCATGGTAATTACTTGTGAACAAATTCTAGCAGTACTGATAACCCACTTATAAGCCCCTTAAGTGCCCTAATATGGTTATAAGTACAGTTCTAGGTACCCTCAACCCTAAACCCTAAACCCTAAACCCTATAGGTCCAGCTATACTTGGTCAAGCAAGCACCATGGACCTCCAAAGCACACCCGAGGTCGTGAGGCGCCTGAGAAGAAAGCGCCCGAGGCCGAAGCGATCGGCCAAGACGAGGCTGGCTTACAAGTCAGGGTTTAGGTCGTCCAGGGTGTTTGGTTTAGGGTTTAGGGTTTAGGGTTTAGGGTCTAGGGTTTAGGGTTTTGGGGTTTTGGGGTTTAGGGTTTTTAGGGTTTAGGGTTTTTAGGGTTTAGGGTTTAGGGTTGCTCAGGGTACAGTTGCGGGCGGTTTGGGGTGTTTTGCGGCTTTCAGGGTTCTACGTAGGTGTTTAAGGTTCTCTGGGGGCAGGTTGCTGTTAAGGTCCCCCCGGTTTTCTTGCCTGCCAACTTCAAGGGTTAAGGGTTTGGGGTTTAGGGTTTAGGGTTTAGGGCTGTCTAGGCTTTAGGCTTTAGGCTTTAGGCTTTAGGCTTGAGGCTTTAGGCTTTAGGCTTTAGGCTTTAGGCTTTAGGCTTTAGGCTTTAGGCTTTAGGCTTTAGGCTTTAGGCTTTAGGCTTTAGGCTTTAGGCTTTAGGCTTTAGGCTTTAGGCTTCAGTGTTTTGGGGCATGCGGCAATGTTTTCCAGGTACCTTCATTCTCTTTTTTCGGGGTTAGGTGCTGCAGATCATTGATTCACGGTTATTCTTCCGGATAGGTTATTGGGCTGGGAGATCAGAGTTTGGGGGGTTGGGGGGGGGGGGGGGGGGTGGGTGGGGGGTTGCTGCGCTTGCAGATTGCTGCTTGAACCGTGCTAAGGTTCATGAGCCCTGTTTGGTGGTTCATGGTACTTATTATCCAATCATATAACTGTACTTCAAGCCATATTAGGGCACTGAAGGGACTTATAAGTGGGTTTTAAGTACATACGATTGGTTAAAAAAGTACTATGAACCGCCAAGAATTAAGGTTCATGAGCCCTACAGGCCGAATTCTCTGATGTGGTTCCCAAGGAAAAGCAAGAGCCGCAAAATTTACAGGTGTTTGTTTGTTGCAGTCGCAGCTGAGTTTTTAGGCTTACAGTTTAGGGTTTAAGGGTAGGGTTTAGGGTTTAGGGTTTAGAGTTTAGGGTTTTGGGTTTTGGGTTTTGGGTTTTGGGTTTAGGGTTTAGGGTTTAGGGTTTAAGGGTTTGCAGTTCCCCCCCCCCCTAGAGCGGGAGGGAGCTGCGGCGCTGATATAGTCACAAGCGATGGCATGTTCTAGGCAGGTGGGCCAATTTCGTATTCGCAGGCGAGGAAAGGAAACAGCCACAAGTGAGTGAATTTACCCTAAACCCTAAAACCTACAACCCCAGATGGGTTTCGTAGGTGACTGGTGTGCCAGGAAAGCCCCCGGCACCCAGGCATTGACGCCCCCCCCAACCCTAGACCCTAAACACTAAATCCTAAACCCTAAACCCTAAACCCTAAATTAAACCCTACACTCCAGGAGTGCGCCCTTTGTGGATCGGCGGAACATGCGCAATGCTGAGCTTTCCAACTTAGGTCATACAGAGGCCTCTAAACCCTTAGAATTATGAACCCTACATATCATATAATATTCATGTATGTATTTATATATAGTATTATACTGTGTTTGATGATATTATATGATATCATATGAGATTATACGATATTATATGATACTATAAGATTATATTATAATGTATTATATTATAGTATATTTTACTTTATTGTAGTTGTTTATATTATACGATATTATATTTTATTATATATGATACAATATTATACCTTTATTATTTATGTTATATTAAGTTTTCTTATTATATTATATTATATTATATTATATTATATTATATTATATTATATTATATTATGTTATGTTACATTATATTATATTATATTATATTATATTATATTATATTATATTATATGATATTTATATGTTACGTACATATATGTAATATATGTACATATATATATATATACTATAAATATATATATACACACCTAACTTAACTTGAACCCCAAAATCTTCAGCCTCAAAACAGTCCCGATTTGACTTGATAGGCCCCTGTAGATGGACAGTTCATCCCGGTGATCTTCGGTTTCTCGCTGACGTCCTCAACTCTACGTAGACGCCCGTATAGGTTTTAGGGTTTAGGGTTTAGGGTTTAGGGTTTAGGGTTTAGGGTTTAGGGTTTAGGGTCATCCTGAGGCAACTCACCACATGGCGCTGATGGCACGCACAACACACAACCCCAAACCCAAAGCCCTAAACCCCAACCCCTAAACCCTAAACCCAAAGCCCTGAATTCATAAAACACCCTTGGGCCATCGAAACTCTAGGGTCCGAAGCAGGGGGCCTTTAGTTTGGGTCCCTTGTTATAAAACCCTTGCATACACTATACATAAGAAGGGCCCATACTACGGATCCCTTTGAATCCCTTGAAACAAGGGTAAGGGACCACTAAGGGCCCATGGTTCCAACCTCAGGGTAACACCCCCTCTGAAACCAGGTTTAGGGTTTAGGGTTTAGGGTTTAGGGTTGAGGGTTGAGGGTTTAGGGTTTAGGGTTTAGGGGCCCCGGAAGCCCACTAGGAGTTTCAGGGTTTGCAGGTTCCTAAGGGTAGTTACATGGCCCCTGAATATGGTCCCTACCTTCCTTGAAGGGTTTTGAAGTCTGGGCCCTTGGGTTTTGAAAGGGTATCTAAGGGGTGTTTTATGGTTCCCTGTCTAAGCCTAAACCCTAAACCCTAAACCCGAAACCCTAAACCGGACAGGGTTTGTGGTCACAGAGTTCATAGGGTTTATCATGAATCCGAAGCCCCTCACCACGAGCATCCCTCAGCCAAAATGGACTGCAGACATAAAGACCACTTTAGGGTTTAGGGTTTAGGGTTTTTGGTTTAGGGTTGAGGGTTTAGGGTTTAGGGTTTATGGCTGGCGTGTTCAACACACTGAAGGGTTGAAGGCCCTTGCTCCCAAATCAACCTTAGCGCTTTGCCGTTTGCACCGATAGACTTTGCTAAGCCTAACCTGTTTTAACCCCTAAGACCTAGACTTGAGCCCAAACCTTAAACTGTAAGCCCACAGTCCCAAACCCTAAACACTAAACCCGATAGAACCCTAAGCCCAAAGCCAAGCTATGCCCAAGGTCTTTCGGGCCTGTCCCTTGCGCAACCGTGCTGTTCGCATCAGCCAGCCACTGAGAAGCGCCCACCTTTGGGGGGGGGGGGGGCCACATGAACAGTGGGCTTATGGGGTTTAGGGTTTAGGGTTACGAAGCTCAGTAGGGATTCTAGTAGTATAGGGAAAACTTCCATTTTAGGCTTCTTGCGGCTTCTTAGGTTCAGGGTTGAGGAAAACGACCCCGATTTTCGAGGTTCATGAACTGCATAGGGCTTACAATAGAATAGGTTATATTGCCCCAATTTTGGGTTTCAAGGTATGGATTATGGAAGGGTCGCTGGCAAGAGGAGTCTACACGTACATCTCGGGCAATGTTCTCGGTTCAAATGGCACTTGTTATACGCTAAACCCGCTAAATGCTTGAAACCCCTAAACCTAAACCCAAACAAACCCCAAAACCCCATGGTCCAGCTATGCCATGTGATTTTGTTTGGTGTAGTCGAGTATGTTCCCCCACTGCCAAACCCTGCCAGAAAGTGCTAGAAACTAGACCCTAAACCCTAGACCCTAAACCCTCAACCCTCAACCCGAAGCGAGCTTCTCCAGCGCGCACATAATTTGCCCGGGGCTCTCTCCTGTTTCACAGTTCTCGTAGCACTCTTAGGGGTAGCTTTGTTTCGTTCAGGGCTGGGGCTAGCTCCATAAAGCCTCTCTCTCTCACTCTCTCTCTCTCTCTCTCTGTCTCTGTCTGTCTGTCTCTCTCTCTCTCTCTCTCCCTCTCTCTGGGGTTTACGAAAACTCCCAGTACCCTTCATACAGACCTCCAAATAGTAGGATTCCGTTATAGTTATAATAAGGACCCCAATAAGGTACCCCCCCCCCCAATTTCGGCCGCCCCCCCAATTTCGGAAACCCCCCTTTCTCTGCTTACACCCTTGAGACCTCGAAACCCTAAACCCTAAACCGAGGTTGCGCCTCACTCGCCAAAGATGCCGCGGCCGCACTAGAGCAGGCCTTCCGTGTAGGAAGCTGTACTAAAAGTTTATGGTTTAGGGTCTGAGGTTTAGGGGCCCAAAAAACCACATAAACATAAGGATCCCACAAACAGGTTTTTTTTCGGAATTCTTCTTATAGGGGCCCTATACCCCAAGAGTAGGATCCTTATGTTTATGTGGTCTTTTTGCGCCCATATGATAGCTTAGGGTGACCCGAAACCCGAAACCCTAAACCCTAAACCCCAAACCCCAAACCCTAAACCCTAAACCCTAAACCCTCGAGCATTTGTTGTTCAAATCCCAAATCCACAACCATTGGGCTCCTTCGCCCACGAACCAGATGGCCACCCCCCCCTCCCCCTCCCCCCTCCTCCTCCCCCCACCCCCGGTTAAGGGTTTAGGGTTTAGGGTTTAGGGTTTAGGGTTTAGGGTTTAGGGTTTAGGGTTTAGGGTTTAGGGTTTAGGGTTTAGGGTTTAGGGTTTAGGGTTTAGTACAAAGTCCGAGCCTGTCTTGGTGAACGCAGGGGATGGTGGAGGGGCTTTAGTGTGGGGTTTTGGGGAGGCGTTTGGGGCTTTATGGTGTTGAGGCTTTGGGGCTTTGGGTTTTGGGAACCCTAAACCCTAAACCCTAAACCCTAAACCCTAAACCCTAAACCCTAAACCCTAAACCCTAATCCCTAAACCCTAAACCCTAAACCCTAAACCCCCTAACCCTAAACCCCCTAACCCTGAACCCTGAACCCTGAAACGGCACAGAGGCGTGGATTCAGGGTCTGCAGTGCTCTGCACGTGGGTCCCTTTTGGACTAGTACGTGCCCTCAGTGTTTCTGAGGGCATGTATGATGGCAGGGAGCTGAGGAAGCACCCAAAATATCACCAACGCATCTGCCGGCCGAGCAGCACGTTACCATCAAAAGCTTCCTCGACAGGTTGCCGAGGGAGTTGTCCGCGCACAACCTCCTTCAAACGCACGAGATTTCAGAAATTGGAGCATGCCAGGGCAGTTGCGAAGAAGCATGAGGAGTACAGCAGAGATAACCTGGGTTTTGGAGTACTATACTTTAATACATTTTTGGTGTTGGGTTCCTATTAGAACGACTTATACCTAGAAAGTAAGGGTCCACTCCAAAGTAGGGTAACACTATTCTGTCACAGCTCAGAAGCCAGCATCTAGGGAGTGTGCAGCTACCCTAATACCCCGAGCCCCCAAACCCGAACACCCAAAGGCCCGAATTGTTCACTAACACCCTGACACCCCTAAAGCCCCCAAAGACCTGAAACCCGAGACTTTCAACCCTACTAACACTCCGAACCTACAAAGTTTAGGGTTTAGGGTTTAGGGTTTGGGGTTTTCGGGTTTAGGGTGTAGGATTTAGGGTTTAGGGTTTAGGGGTCCCCTAATCACCCCCAAACCCCTAAAGCCCCCCAAAGCCCCTTCTGAGCCCCTCTGAAGGTCAAGGCGGCCGCAGCGGAGTTGGAGACCGCCTGGGCTTCTGAGGCTGTTCGGGTTTGGGGTTTAGGGTTCAGGGTTTAGGGTTTAGGGTGTCGGGTTTAGGGTTTTAGGTCTTTAGGGCTTTAGGGTTCAGGGTTTAGGCTTTAAGGGCTTTAGGGTGTAGTGGGTTTAGGGTTTAGGGTTAGGGGTTCCAGGGGTTCAGGGTTTCAGGGCTTTGGGCGTAGGGAGGTTTTTAGGGGAACTAGCGTTGCGCTTCTTTTGGGCAAGTTGGTGGGCAGGAGCTTCTCGCAAGGTTTAGTTTGGCGTTTCAGGGAGTGTGGTATTTGGGCATGCAGTAGGCTTGCTTGCAAATCTATGTGCAGGTACATGGGGGGGGACTCCGAAGCTAAGTACCTTCCTGCGGTCCTGATGTTGAGGGAATCCTAGTATTTGGGGGGGGGGGGGGGGGGGTTATATGAGGGTCCCTCATTTTTAGGCGAAAATAGCTTCTACACTTCTGCACCCACAAAGGGGGCCTGATGTACGGAGCCCCTGCAAGTCGTACCGTTACCCACCAATTGAGGGCCTAAAATGTACGGAGCCCTCATAAGTCGTTCCTGGCACCCTATTTACCTGCGGTTTAGTAGCAAGTACCCCCTATCCAGTAGGTAGAACTTAGGATGTTCCCCCTTATACTAAAAATCCTTAATAGGATTATTATAGGGGGTTCTAGAATCCCTATTAAGGACTGTTAGTATACAGGGGAAACATGCAATTAGAACTGCAGGGGAAACATTCAAAGGTAAGTAGAACTCGTAAAACTGTAGGAAAATGGGGGTTTGCGAAAATTCGAGACCCCCAATCTAGCCCCCCAAATAGTAGTATTTGCTTGTAATACAGACCCCCATAAGGTACCCTGATTTTCGGAAACCCCAACCAAATAGGGTCCCCAGGTACAGTTTAGCCCCCCTTTTGTTCCCCTCTCCGGAGGCGCGCTGGCATCGCTTGGCACTCAGATGCCTCACCACTCCTGTTATCAGGTGCTGAAGGGAGGGGGGTCCAGGGTTTAGGGTTTAGGGTTCAAGAGAGGTATTTAACCCGAGGTTTCCTGATGCTCCTTCCTCACTACTCCCTAAGGCTCCCTACGCTTACCAACGGTGCTCTAGTTCCTGCCCCCCATGAACCCCTGCTCCCGTAAGGACCCTCTAATCTTACAGTCGACTGGGGAAAACTGCTCTTTCTTGTCTCTAAGCCTACAGGAAGGGGGATGAATCCAGGGGTCGGAATGATATGATTACGAATAGTAAGAATAGTATTCCCTTATGGTCCCTGTAACATGATAGTAGAATGCCCCCCCCCCCCACCCATTAAAAGAAAAAAAACAACGGTAATTATGAAGGCCCCTAGATCAGGGCTCTAAGGGGAGGAATGATGGCTCAACGGAAGGGTTTTAGGGTTTAGGGTTTAGGGTTTAGGGTTTAGGGTTTAGGGTTTAGGGTTTAGGGTTTAGGGTTCTTTTGGGGAGCAAGTCAACCGTCTCGAACCCTGAAACGAGAGTCTCTTCCCGCAGCTGCTGCCGTATCTTGCGCTCCGAGGCTTCGTGCGCCTAGTGGGGTTCGCGTCCGGCGCAAGCTCTTCAGGGTTTAGGGTTTCGGGCTTAGGGCTTAGGGTTTAGGGTTTAGGGTTTAGGGTCATTGCCTAGTAATTAGAGGGTTTGGAGTTCTTTGGGGTTTCGGGTTCATATAGGGTTCACAAGGGGGTTTCGAGTTCAGGGTCTCGGTGTCCGGAGCCGGAGCCATGTCTTTGGCGATAGAGGTGAGCCTGCTGAGCGGCCGCGCGGTTGCTTGGTAGCCCAGTGGTACCCTTTCCCTTTCTTTGGGTTCTGGGTTTCCCTTTATAAAACCACCAACCCCCCCCAAAAAAAGGGTGCCCTGATTGTATAAGATGGTTACTGGGTTACCAAGGTTGTACTCGAAGCAGAGAGGGATGAGCTCATAGAAGCCTTCCGAACCAGAGCGCAGAAGGCCTTGGCAGTTGACCGGGGCAGACTCTTGGACTCCTCAGGAGGCGTTCTTGATGGAGGAGCCACGCTGGAGGAGTCGAGGTTGCAGAACGGCGACACGCTGACCTTGCACGTTCGCAGGGTTCAAGTTTGCAGTAACGACTATGCTTTTGCTTCCATCCTCGGCGATGGGTCTGTTGTGACCTGGGGTGCTGCTGGCGACGGAGGCGACAGCAGTGCTGTGCAACATCAGCTCAAAGACGTGCAACACATCCAAGCATCTCAGGCCGCGTTTGCTGCCATTCTGAGCGATGGGTCTGTTGTGACCTGGGGCGATAAGGACTGCGGTGGCGACAGCAGTGGTGTGCAACGTCAGCTGACGGATGTGCAGCAGATCCAAGCATGTTGCGGCGCTTTTGCTGCGATTTTGGGCGATGGGTCCGTGGTGACCTGGGGCGATGATGATTGTGGTGCCGACAGCAGTGCTGTGCAACATCAGCTGAAGGACGTGAAGCAGATCCAGGCATGTAGTGGCGCTTTTGCTGCCATTCTGGGCGACGGGTCTGTTGTGACCTGGGGCGATGTTGGTGGCGACAGCAGTGCTGTGCAAGGTCAGCTGCAGGACGTGCAGCAGATCCAGGCATCTGGGGATGCTTTTGCAGCCATTCTCGGCGATGGGTCAGTTGTGACCTGGGGCGACACTGACTGTGGTGGCGACAGCAGTGCTGTGCAACATCAGCTAAAGGACGTTCAACAGATCCAAGCATCTGCAGGGGCCTTTGCTGCAATTCTCACCGACGGGTCTGTTGTGACTTGGGGAGACGCCCGCTCTGGTGGCGACAGCAGTGCTGTGCAAGCTCAGCTGCAGGGCGCCCGGCAGATCCAAGCATCTCAGGACACCTTTGCTGCCATTTTGGGCGATGGCTCTGTTGTGACCTGGGGTGGTCTTGCTGGCGACAGCAGCAGTGTGCAAGATCAGCTGAGGCTAGATCAGTGTTAGGGATCCTTTTACTTTTTGGGTTGTGGGCTTTCTTATATATGAACAAAAAGGATCCTTTTTTCTTCCTAGGGGAACAGGGATTAAGGAGGGGCGTGGAGCAGATCCTAGCTTGTCGCGATGTCTTTGCTGCGATTCTGGCTGACGGGTCCGTGGTGACCTGGGGCGACGCTGACTGCGGTGGCGACACTGGGTTTTGGAGTACTACACTTTAATACTTTTTTGGGTTCTGGGTTCCTATAATGGCTACTTAAACCTAAAAAGTATATACTTTTTTCCAGGGTCTACTCCAAAGCTAAGGACAGCAGCGCTGTGCAAGAGCAGCTGAAGGACGTGCAGCAGATTCAAGCTTTCGGAGGCTGCATTTATTGGGGCGATCCGGGCTGCGCTTTTGCTGCCATTTTGGGCGATGGGTCTGTTGTGACCTGGGGCTCTGCTGCTTGCTAGCCCAGTGGTACCCTTTACCCTTTTTTGGGTTCTGGCTTCCCTTACGAAACAACCACCCCCAAACAAGGGGGCCCTTAGGGCCCTTATTATAAGATAGCCCTAAACCCTAAACCCCAAACCCTAAACCCTAAACCCTAAACCTCTGGTTCCTGGGCTACCAAGGCTTCCCAGGGTGGTGACAGCAGCATCGTGCAACACCAGCTGCATGGCGTCCAGCAGATCCAAGCTCCTTGGGGCCCAAATGTCATGGACCCTCTACTGCTATATTTCCTAATAAGGTATATGAACCATAAACCCTATGTACTACTATGATTCCTATTCAGGAGTATGAATCATAAACCCTTTTTAATTTTCATTTCGTCTCCAAGGTTATGAAACATCCTCGATTCGGTGACGGTGCTTTCGCTGCCGTTGTCGACGGGGCTGTCGTGACCTGGGGCAACACCTTGGGGGCCAAATGGGGCCTATGATTCACATACCGTATTCGGATTTCCATTAGCCTAGGCAACGCTGAGTTTACCGGCTGACGAAGCAGTGTTGTCAGGTAAGGTCAAGGAACGTCAGCTGAAGGACGCGCAGTACCATTCTAGCCGATGACTCCTTAGTGACATGCGGTCACGATTGCTTAGTCAGATGGTGGCTGAAAAATGTCGTATTGCCGATTTTCAGTCTCGTCCATCCTCACCGTCCTAGCTTAGAAGGTAAAAGCTGGAATGAGGTACCCTGTTATATGCCCCTATGTATACCCTTGAAGAGATTATGTAGGGTACCTCCTTCCCACATTCCCTACTAAGAACCAGGGGGCCCCCCTAAGCCCTAAACCCTAAACCTAAACCCTAAACCCTAAACCCTAAACCCTAAACCTACTAGGAAGCAGCGGCAAAAGTTGGTAGTTCTTGACTTCAAGAACTTGCACGGTCGGGCGGAACCCGCCGTTCGAACCGAAGCCCTAGGCCCGGCAGTATCCTGTACCAGGATAGAAAGGGGGTATGGCGTTGTGAGGGTTTAGGGTTTAGGGTTTAGGGTTTAGGGTTTGGGGTTTGGGGTTTGGGGTTTAGGGTTCAGGGAAGCTTAGGGAAGTCTAGGGAGGTTTAGGGTTTGGGGTTACAAGGCGCTGTACCTTCATCTCGAAGTCCACAATGTCGGAACGAGTCAGAGTAGTGCATTCGGGCGTAAGGTACTGTTTGCTTAAGAACCCCCTTCAAAAACACTTTAAAAAGAAGCGGGTAATGGACGTTGATTGTGTGTTTTTTCTGGGGTTCTTTAAGCAAACCTAAACCTTAAACCCTAAACCCTAACCCTCAACCCTAAACCCTAAACCCTAAACAGTGGGCTGAGGCTCCTGGAGTGGAGCCTTCAGTCTAAGTCCTGGGACCCAGAGTAGGCCCCCCTTAGAATACCCCTTAAACTTGGGATGTTCAACAGGGGTTTAGGGTTTAGGGTTTAGGGCGTAGGGTTTAGGGCATAGGGTTTGGGTTTAGGGATACCCCCGTTTATAGTCCCCATTAAGGCCTGTTAGTATAAGGGGGAACATTCCAACCCTACACCATATAAACCCTTGCTCAACCTGAGCACGTTTTACACGCCAGACCCTTACCCCGCCCAGTTGAGGATCGATCTTAAAAACTCTCACGGCGCGTGAGGCAACTCCCTGTTCGTCATCATGGCATCTGCCATTGGCCAAGAGGGCTCAAGCTGTTTAGGTTGGGATTTAGGTTGGGATCCAAGGCACCCCTAAACCCTAAACCCTAAACCCTAAACCCTAAACTCTAAACCCCTTGCAGTTTAGAGTTTTGGCTTTGTAGGAGCGCAACCCCCTCAACCCTCAACGCCGGTTCAAGGTGCAGCTGTTTCGGGGCAGTTCTTGGGTTGCCAACTGCCCAGGTGCCCTAACCCCTAAACCCTAAACCCTCAACCCTAAACCCTAAACCCTCTTCCCACACAATCGTCTAGGACCCTCCAGTGGGTAAATGCCTTGTCGTTTGCTTAACGGCTTTGATTCCCTTCTAAGCCAGCACAAAGATGGATACGGTGAACCTTATCGTGCCCTATATAAGCCCTACTCTCAACCCTATGACGTTTTAAAAGAAGGGCGGGTTGCTGCTGCAAATGAAACCCTAAACTCAAAATCCTAAACCCAAAATGCTAAACCCAAAATGCTAAACCTAAACCCTAAACCCTAAACCCTAAACCCCAAACCCCAAACCCTAAACCCTAAACCCTAAAGCCTAGACCCTAAACCCTAAACCTTAAACCCTAAACCCTAAACCCTAAACCCTAAACCCTAAACCCTAAGCCCTAAGCCCTAAGCCCTAAGCCCTAAAGCTAAGTCCGGCGATCCGCAGTGTCTGTTCTGTCGAGACCTGTCAGGTTCACAAAATAGCCCAACAGGGCCCCAAACATCTAACGCCCGAAGTCTTACAGCCGCGAGTAGAAATGCCAAAACATCCCATGGCTCGCTTGGGGGTTAGGGGGTTAGGGGGTTAGGGGGTTAGGGGGTTAGGGGTTTAGGGGTTTAGGGGTGTACTGGTTTAGGGGTTTAGGGGTTTAGGGTTGGGTTTAGGGTTTAGGGCTTAAAGCTTAGGGCTTATGGTTCAGGGTTGAAAGGGTCTAGCATGTTCCGTTTCAACCGGGGGGGGGGGGGGGGGCGAGAAGACGGAGGAAGAAGGTGGGGGCGGGGGGGGGAAGAGGGGGTAGGTTTTGAGTTGGAGACTGAGGCTTCATGAAGGGGTTTAGGGTTTAGGGTTTAGGGTTTGGGGTTTGGGGTTTAGCGTTTAGGGTTTAGGGTGAGAGAGGGTTGACTGTATTGGCCTTAGCTTCTAATCGGGTTTGGGGTTTTCAGGGCTTAGCCAAACTGGTGTTAGGGAGCCGGCCACCCACAGGACAAAGACGCCAAGACTTTGCTGCACTCGGCAGCGGCAGAAGGCGTGCTTGATGCATGGTACTTCGCTTCAGGGAACTGCGAAACTACGTCATGAGTAATTAGGGCTAAGAAAGGGAGAGTATCCTCACTGCAACCCTGAAGCCTAAACGGTTTAGGGTTTAGGGATACTCCACTTTTAAAGCCCCAAACACTAAACCTACTAACAAAGTTTCCGAAGCCTTTGAGTATGTTGCATTCATCCCGATTGGTGGCCCTTCCAGTCTCCAACCACTAGGAGGTTCATGGTTCTTATTAACCAAATATAGCTGTACTAGGGTTTAGGGTTTAGGGTTTAGGGTTTAGGGTTTAGGGGTCTCCAAGCACCAGGAGGAAGCAAGGCTCAAGATCCTCAAGCCCATCGGGACTTTAGGGTTTTAGGGACTATAGGGTCTTAGGGTCTTAGGGTTTTCGGGTTTTAGGGTTTAGGGTTTAGGGTTTAGGGTTTAGGGTTTAGGGTTTAGGGTTTGGGGTTTAGGGCTTAGGGCTTAGGGCTTAGGGCTTAATGCCTTCTCCGCACATGGCAGTATGAGGTAGGAGTCTGGGATTCGTGTTGGTTGGAGGTGCAGGGTACTTAAAACTCCCAAGACCCCAAGGGTCCATGTACCCACATGGTATACACTTGGGCTGCAAAGCTACTATATAGGAACCCCTTTAAGGCTCAAGTATGTATTATGTGGGAACATGGACCCTTGCAGAAGAGTAACTGTAGCCATAGCCACTTGTAAGTTCCTGAGCGCACGTCGGCTTCAAGGGTTGAGGGTTTAGGGTTTAGGGTTTGGGGTTTATGGTTTGGCTGGCTCCGATTTTCTTGGTAGCCCCGTGGTACCCTTTTGCCCGTTTCTTGGGTTCTAGGTTTCCTTTTTCAACAACCGACCCCCCCCCCCCCCCAAAAAAAAAAAAAAGTACCCTTGTCACAATATGGTTGCTGGGATACTAGAGTGGGCCCTTATTCCATTTTTTAGGGTTTAGGTTCCCGTATAAGCCAGTTTAAACCAAAAAGGGCGCCCTTTTATTCCTAGGTAACTCTTGGGTCTGGGATAGCAAGTTTTGTCTCTCTGTGAGTTGTAATTTGGGCCGTCTTGGGGTGGGGCCGTCCGGATTCTACTGCGCGCTTACCATGTCGTGACCTGCCGCACGCCTGCACCCTAACCCTAAACCCTAACCCCGAAACCCTAAACCCTAAACCGTAATCCCTAATCCCTAAACCCTAAACCCTAAAACCTAAACCCTAAACCCTAAACCTTCCATCTCCGTCAGCAAGTCCTTCTGTGCCAGGCCTGGAGATTGATGGCAGCATGGCCAGCGCGCGGTCCGCGGACACGACCCCCAAAGCCTTGAACGCCTTGAGCAACACAAGCACTTTAGGGTCTGTAGGACCCTTAGGGTTTAGGGTTTAGGGTTTAGGGTTTAGGGTTTAGAGTAATTCCTAGGATCCAGAGTCGGCCCTTGGTTCCTTTTTGCAAGCGTGCGGGTTCCCCTTTTTCAGGCCCTTTAAAGCAAGAAAAGGCACCCTTATATTCCTAGGCTACTCTGAGGTCGAGCTTCGAGTCTAGGCGCTGGGGGGTTTTGGGGTGTAGGCGTTTTGGCCATTTAGGAACGGTCTCCCTTTCATCTGGTTCAGGAGTGAGGATATTCAGGTTGTGATCCTAAAGTTGGGCCCAAAGGTACGATATTAGCGTTGTAGACTCAAGGACCTCGATCTTCATTCGTTTCACACTTGTAGCCCGTCCCGTGAGTTGGAGAAGCTTTAGAAGAACGCACCAGGAAACTAGACCGGATACAACATTAAGGGTGACAGGATGAACGGATAGAATGCGACTAGCCCGAGAAGGATACTGGCGTGTGTATTAACTGAGGCTAAATGAGTCTTTTAGCTGGCTACATTGGCGAACTCACTCTCAAGGACCGGTTTTGTATAAGCCTGGGGTATCGAGGTCGAGCGAGCGACCGCCAAAGCAACAGGCGCGACGCCGAAAGCCTAACCCCTAAACCCTAAACCATTCAAACACCAAAAAGGGCACACATGCTTTTGTTTCAAGGATGCGTGCTGCTGCGCAGCAGATCTTATGTCAAGGAATCCCGGCGTTTTATTTTTCCAAATACTGTCGTATGTACAAGGGGACCAGTGGTAGGTAGAATCTTCAACAGGACCGCAGCCTCTCGGCCCAAACCAAAGCACCTTGTCAGGGCTTACGGTTTCAAGTTTTCCGTTTCGGAGCGGGTCTGTCACTGTCAACCCCTAAACCCTAAACCCTAAACCCTAAACCCTAAACCCTAAACCCTAAACCCTAAACCCTAAACCCTAAACCCTAAACCCTAAACCCTAAACCCAAGTCCCGACGTCCCCAAGTTCCCAAGTCCCCAAGTCCCCAAGTCCCCAAATGTAGCGAGCTTTGCTTGTGGGAACCCTTTACCTCGATATACCTCGATGCTGCCCAGACAGTCCCTGGGCCAGCGTCCCCCTTTCCCGGTATACTTGTGTATGTGGGTTTGGGGTTTGGGGTTTATAGGGTTTCGGGAAAAAGTTTAGGTTGTTCGTGTTCAGGGTACCATGGCGGAACGTGTAACAGGTGTTGATGACCCGGAAGCCGAACAGCCTGGCAGCGGAGTCTATCAAAACCTCAAAAAACCTAAACCCCAAACCCCAAACCCCAAACCCCAAACCCTAAACCCTAAACCTTAAACCCTAAACCCTAAACCCTAAACCCTAAACCCTAAACCCTAAACCCTAAACCCTAAACCCTAAACCCTAACCCCCCATCAATCTGCAGGTCCGTCGACCACCCGCACACCAGGATTGCGGCCCGAGGCGCTGGTTTCCAACCCGGGCTCGTACACTTAAGGGGATTTACGAACATACTGTTTAGGGTTTTGGGTTTAGGGTTTAGGGTTTAGGGTAAATAAGGTTTAGGGTTTACGGTAATTAGGGTTGAGGGTTGAGGGTTGAGGGTTGAGGGTTTAGGGTTTAGGGTTTAGGGTAACATACTTCAGGGGATTTACGAAAAGACGGGACCCTGACTTGGTGGTTCACGGTACCTATTGACCAATTAGAACTGTACTTATACCTGTACATAGAAGCCCCTTAACTCCTAAACTTGCCCTAAATCCGACAGCCTTTTTGCCCTTAGCCCTCCGACTACACGGCCCCTGAATCATGAAACCCGGCGTCCAGAACTGCCCCAGAACATCACAACCTCAGAAGAGCAGGCGTGGTGTACATCGTGTTACGCAGACTTAAATACTAAACCCTAAACCCTGAACCCTAAACCCTAAGCCCTAAACCGACAGCTTACAGTGCTTAGCATGGGGCGCACCGGGGTTCACAGGAATATGACGTGTGGGCTTTCGGGCGTGTGGGTTCAACTTCACGCTTGAAAGAGCGGAAGAGCTGCAGGGTTCAGGGCCGCTAAACCCTAAAACCTGAGCTCTCAACCCCAAACCCTAAACCCTAAACCCTAAACCCTAAACCCTAAACCCTAAACCCTAAACCCTAAACCCTAAACCTAAACCCTAAACCCCACGACCCGATAGAGCCTCAACCATAAACCCTGAGTTGGGATTAGGGTTATGGGGTTTATGGGGTTTATCGGTTTTATAGGGTTCATACGCTTTCTAGGGCTTGTAGGGTTTGTGGGGTTTTTATAGGGTTTATAGGGTTGAAACATGAGAAACTATGAAGGATCGTTTTGGGTTTGGGGTTCGTAGTGTCCCAGCGTTTAGCGTCTGGGGTTTTTGGGGGGTTTAGGGTTTGGGCTTTGGGGGTTTGGAGTTCAGGGTTTGGGGTATATAGGGTTTGGGGCTTACCCGAAGCAACTTCCTGTCTCCCTAAACCCTAAACCCTAAACCCTAAACCCTAAACCCTAAACCCTAAACCCTAAACCCTAAACCCTAAACCCTAAACCCTAAACCCTAAACCCAGCAACTCTTGAAGTGCAGCCGAAAATCTTGGAAGTCTTGGTTCCCCCCGGTCTCTGGAGGACTTTGAACTAGGGGTCGCAGTCTAAAAAGCCGAAATGCTGTTGGGTTCCGTCTCTGAATACCTTAGGGACGAAATGAACCCTAAAATTGGGGGTCATATACCCTGAGTACTCTAATTGCTATTCAGGTATATGAGCCATAAACCCTTTTAGGGTTCATTTAGTCCCCAAGGTATGAGGGCCCCGATCAAGAAGCCCCTGTCCGGGCAAGACAACCCCCAAAAAGGGACCATGATTTCGAGAACTGACCAGATAGTGAAAGCTGTGCGGCGAGGTGCGAAAGAGAAAGCCCGATTGATCAGCATGGCCAAAGGCGCCAAAAAAAAAAAAAAAAAAGAAGAAACAGCCGCGCCTCGGAGATTCGGGCTTAGGGTTTAGGCTTTAGGATTTAGGATTTAGGGCTTAGGGCTTGGTTTAGGGTTTAGGGTTTAGGGTTTAGGGTTTAGGGTTTAGGGTTTAGGGTTTAGGGTTTAGGGTTTAGGGTTTAGGGTTTAGGGTTTAGGGTTTAGGGTTTAGGGTTTAGGGTTTAGGCTGGAGAGGCCTCGACTATGCCCCGACAAATCCGATCCTTGATATCTTTGAAAGCCTAGACCCGAAGGCCTAAACCCCATCACTGAGTTTGGGAACTTGGCCTTGCAGCCCTGAGCTTAGGGTTTAGGGTTTATGATTAGGGATTAGGGTGTAGGGTTTAGGGTTTAGGGTTTATTGTCTAGGGTTTATTGTTTAGGGCTTAGGGTTTAGGTTTGGGGTTTAGGGTTTAAACTGCATGGCTGCATGTCTAGGAAGTGCTGCTCCACACAAGTCTAAAGTTTAGGGTTTAGGATTCAGAGTTTAGGGTTTAGGTTTTTTGTTTGAGCAGGCTAGGTAAAGTGTGTAAACCCTAAACCATTGATCCTTCAGAAAACAAGCTTCTGTCTAAACCCTGACTTCTAAACCCTAGACCCTTGACCGGATGTCGGTCGTGATTTTTACACCCACGCAGAGAAGAAGGATTTGTGTTGCTATAGTAGCATATTTCTTTGCATGGGATAGTACATTCTTATTCTGTGAGTATGCTAATACATTTTGATTGTGATATGTTATTTTCGTATGTACTCATTGTTTATGCGATGTTTGTTGTTGTGGCCTTTTGGGCTATAGGAAGCTGTTCACGGTGTTGGGTGGTTCAGGGCGTTCCAGGGTTGGCGCACCCAATCCGACCGAAACCCCGGAAGCCCTGAACCCAAAGGCTTCAGGGTTAGAGGTCTTTGAGGGTTTAGAGGGCTTAGAGGGTTCATGGGGTTCAGAGGGTTCATGGGCTTTATAGGGGCTGTAGAGTGTATAGGGTTTGCAAGGTTGATAGGATTCAGAAGAACCCTAAACCCTAAACCCTAAACCCTAAACCCTAAACCCTAAACCCTAAACCATGGTGTTGCAGCTTGGCTCAATACCCGACCTTTACGGCTCAGGGAAGCCGGCCTTGTCCCGAGCAGACAAGCCCCTACGGAAAACCCTCAGCCCCAAACCCGAGGCCCTAAACCCTAGCCCTAAACCCTAAACCCTAAACCCTAGCCCTAAACCCTAAACCCTAGCCCTAAACCCTAAACACCAACTCCTTCCGCCAAGAGACTGCGAAAGACCCAGAGGGCCCCAAAACGCTCCTCAAGCCGAAACGGCTTCGTATGACTTTAGGGCGCAGAAGTTGTTCAGAGCTTATGGTAGAAAGCCCCTTATAGATACTTGGGTTTAGGGTTTAGGGTTTAGGGTTTAGGGTTTAGGGTTTAGGGTTTAGGGTTTAGGGTCTTGGTATTCTCAGATATTAAGCAGCAACATACAAATAATAAAATAGTACCACGATATGATACAGTCCAAAAACACCTCAGGACCCCTCCTTTAGTCCCCCCCCCTGGCGCTTGGCGGATGGATTTGGGCCAGCGCGATGCTGGGCTGCATTTGTCCGTGGCTTGGGCTTCTTCCTTGAAAACCAAGCCCCAAACCGGAAGCCCCAAACCCCAAACCGGAAACCCTAAACCCTAAACCCTAAACCCCAAAGAAGCCTGAGATCGGATCTGTCGGATCTTTTTTTTTTGGGTGGGGGGGGGGGGGGGGAAAGGTTTAGGGGCTTTGGTGTACTCCGCGCCCGAAATTTTAGCCATATCCCGAAGTTTAGCGGGCCACCCTGAAACTCAAACTACCCTACGCTTGGGACAATCCCCCCCAACCGCAAAACCAAAGATTGAAACTAGTCAGGTATTTAGGGTTCAGGGTTTAGGGCACGGAGTGCGTTCCAGCCAGTCCAAAACCCCAAGTCTTGCAGTCGTGCCCCCTTGCTATAATAGCAGGCTTCTTGGTCCCTACGTTGTGTCTTGGGTTTAGGAAATCGGCGGAGTTCTTCGTGGCCTGGTTGGGCATCCTACTTGTCATTTCATGGCTTTCTGAGTTCCTGGAGCCTCTACAGTGCCAACCTGAACCCAAACCCCGAAACCCGAAACCCCAACCCCAAGCCCTACACCCAAAACCCCAAACCGTAAGCCTCAAGGAAGCGGTTTCCGAGCAGTTCCTGCAGATCCTGCAGCAGTTGGTAGGCTGGTCGATCTCCTCTTTGTGGTGCTTTGTGCTGTAACTGAAGATCCTGGATGCGATTCAGGGTTGAGGGTTTAGGGTGCTGTAACTGAAGATCCTTTGCCTTTCTGGGTTTATTGCTAAGGCAGATTTATTTTTGCCACCCTACTAAGTGCAGGCAAATCCTTTCTTGCGGAGGAGTTGGGTACTTTTGGGACTTTGGGGCTAGAGGGTGGCAGGGTTCAGGGTTCAGGGTTCAGGGTTTAGGGTTTAGGGTTTAGGCTTTAGGCTTTAGGCTTTTGAGGGTCCTTGACCGAAATTTTGAGGGTTCGGGCTCAGAGGTTCCAAGTTCGCGGCTTTAAAGTTTAGCGGCTTTTGGGGTTTGGGGTTGAGAAGTGGGTTTCCACCATCAGGGGAAACCCCTAAACCGAAAACCCCAAACCCCAACGGCTAAACCCTAAGCCTAAACCCTAAACCCTAAACCCTAAACCCTAAACCCCGACAAGCCTTAAGTCCGCACCGAGCTCCGCCTCCCCCCCCCCTCCTTGCGATGAAAGGGAGCACCCAGGTTTAGGGTCTAGGGTCTAGGGTCTAGGGTTTAGGGTCTAAGGTTTAGGGTTTAGGGTTTAGGGTTTGGGGTTTGGGGTTTGGGGTTTGGGGTTTGGGGTTTAGGGTTTCCGATCCACAGCCTCCCTGACAGCAGCCCAAGCAGCCTACATCTAAAGGTCCTTCTTTGGAAAATGTTTAGGGTTTGGGTTCAGGGTGTAGGGGTTTTGGGTTTAGGGGATTAGGGTTTAGGGTTTAGGGTTCAGGGTTGACTTATAAGGGACATAAGGCGCCAGTTGGAGAAAGTGGGGAGCAGGTGTTTAGAGCAACTGCCACATGTTCAGGGTTTAGGGTTTAGGGTTTGGGTTTTTTTGTTTAGGGTTCAGGGTTTAGGGTTGAAGGTTTAGGGTTTAGGGTTTAGGGTGCGATGATTTCCTGACGTACTCCTTTCGAAGGCTTGCTTTTGGGCTACAAGTCGGGAATATCATGCCCTCAGCGACGGTTTAGGATTTAGGGTTTAGGGTTTAGGGTTTAGGGTTCAGGGTTTAGGGTTTAGGGTTTGGGGTTTAGGGTTTAGGGTTTAGGGTTTAGGGTTGGGCATTTTTGTGCCAGAGGAACTGGGATTATAGTCGCAACATTCATGGTCAGTGATGGCATCTGGAATTCGCAAGGACGAGAATGTTTGCAGGGGATATTTTGTTCCAACATGTGTTTTGTTTTTTAGGACAGGTGCTCTGAACCCAATAGCAGAAGAAGTTCTCTCAACACCCCTCAAGCAGGCTCCAAGCCTGAACCGCCTGAACCCTGAAACCCTGAAACCCTAAAACTCTAAACCCTAAATCCTAAACCCTAGACCCCACAACCCTAAACCTCTCTACCATATACACCTAAATGTTAAACACTAATTTAGCGATTTGATCAATTTTACCTATTTAGCGATTTGATCCATTTTACCTCCCGTTGTTCCACACGAATTTTGCGATTTGATCCATTTCGGCCACTCTAACCCCTTTGGCCCCCCATTGTTCAGCACGAATTTTGCGATTTGATCCATTTCGGCCCCTCGCCCCCCTTGTTCAGCACGAATTTGGCGATTTGATCCATTTCGGCCCCTCTGACCCCTTTGGCCCCCCATTGGGTGCGTCTGCACAGAAGTTAATCACCTTGTTATTTCCTTAATGTTATGGGATTCTTTGGGCGGGTCCGCTTTTTCCGTTGCCTACACACACGAAACCCTAAGCCCCAAACCCTAAACCCTAAACCCTAAACCCTAAAGCAGGTCAGCACGTCCAGGAGCTGCAGGAGCTACGCCGTGAGCTGCTTGGCACTGCGCATCTGGGTTTCGGGTTTAGGGTTTCGGGTTTAGGGTTTAGGGTTTCGGGTTTAGGGTTTCGGGTTTCGGGTTTAGGGTTTAGGGTTTCGGGTTTAGGGTTTCGGATTTAGGGTTTCGGGTTTAGGGTGTAGGGTGTAGGGTTTAGGGTTTCGGGTTTAGGGTTTCGGGTTTGGGGTTTAGGTTTTGGGTTTAGGGCTTCGGGTTTAGGGATTTGGGGTTTAGGGTTTTAGGGTTTTACGGTTGGGGTTTGGGGTTTAGGGCAGGGGTGAATTTTCGAAACATGGTGTTACCAGGGAAAGGCGGGCCCCAACACCTAAGGTACCCAAAAAGGGGCCATCATCTCTGGAATTTGGTCGGCCCAAGTGTAGGGCCAAAATGGGTTTAGGGTTTGACGCAGGGTTTAGGGTTTAGGGTTTTCGGGCTCACGGGTTGTAGGGCTTTAGGGCGTTTAGCGTTTTAGGGTTTTAGCGTGTAGGGTTTAATTCCAAAAGCCCTCAGCCCTAAAGAACATTGACGGGCATCATGAACAGCTCATGGCCACACTGAGTAGAGCGTTTTGTCTAAAGGGTCCTCAAATGAGGATGGTTCAAAAAGCAAATTTTGTCACCCAAGGTTCCCTGATGCTCCCCACTACTCCCTAGGCTCCCTAAGCTTCCCTAAATTTTCCTGGGTATACCTACCCCCTCCTTAAACCCTAAACCCCAAACCCTAAACCCTAAACCTAAACATCAAACCCTAAACCCCCCCCAACCCTAAACCCTAAACCCTGAACCCTGAACCCTGAACCCTAAACCACCCGCCCCTTTCATAAGGACCCCATGGCTTGTCTCAGGAACTCCCGCCTGCATGCGTCCAACGCTCGTCTGCTGACTTCCGAC